TTCTATTCTTTCTATTTCTTTTTCAATTTCATTTTCTTTTCCTTTCTTTAATATTCTTCTTCCATTAATTCCATTATATGCTTTGTTTATATTACTAATAACAATAGATTTTTCTATTTCATCTATTGTCAAACAAATAATTGTCCATTCTTTTGGTAAATTTTTATCAATATCTTTAATTGTTGTATTTTCTTCTATTCTTATTCCATATTTTGTACTTTCTCTTTGTCTATATGTAATTCCAATAGACATTGCATGATAATAACATTTCTTATTATTTAAAACATTACATCTAAGAATATTATGCATAATACAATGAATAAGTGTTGCTTCACAATACTTTTCAGCAATTGAAAGTGCTTCTTCAAATGTTTTAAGTCCTTCTTTCTTTTCTCCTTTTTCTAGTTGATTAATCCCAATTTGATTTAAAATACATGCCTTTGTTATTGGTGAATTAAATGGTGATTTTAATAATGTTTTATATTCTTGAATACTATTTGTATTATTTCTTGTATTAATTGTATTTAGTTTAATTATTTTATATAATATTCGATTTTTGATTTCTTGATATGCTTCTGACATATTTCTAGGTTGTTTATTATTTTCTTTTTCTACTTCTTTTTCTGTGCTTGTTCTTTCAATTTTTCCTTTTAAAGATTGTCTAACTAAATACTCTCTTTGAGTTGAATCTCTTAGTATTAAAGGAAATGGTTCAATAAGATTTTCTTGAAGTAATTGGTTTATTATTTCTTTTGCAACTTGATAATATTCCATTGATGTATTATAATGCTTTGTTTTTCTATATAAATCTCCTAGTTCCATGAATGTCATTATCATATTTCTTTTAACTGAAACATATTTTTTAATTTTACTTGAAATATTATCTATTTCTTTAAACTCTTTTTTTGCTTCTTCATAATTTCTCTTTTTCATTTCTAATTCTCCTTTATGTGTTTTTATTTCTATAATTCGTAACAAACTTCCTGTTTCTATTCCTATTTTTTCGGCTTCTTCATAACACATCATTGCTTCTTTATATTTATTTTTTATTTCAAATATCCATCCATAGTTTAAATATGATTCAATTGTATTTCCAATGAATGAATATATTGTATAAAAGAATATTCCTTTCTTTGTTTTAATTTCTTTATTTCTTACTTCCGTTATACTTTTCATTAAACAAAGTGCTCTTTTCCTATATTCAATTCCTTTATTATATTCTCCTATTTTACAATAATATAAACTAATGACATCTTTTAGTTTTGTTTCTATTACAACTCTTTCCCATTCTGTACTTCTTTTCTTAAAACTCTCATTTTCAACTAGTATATTTATTTCATTAATTATATTATTAATACTTCCATCTTCTTGATTAATCCTTTCAATACTAATTCTTATTTTCATAATTAAATACATAATATAATTCTTCATTCCTTCTTCTTCTATATTCATTCCTTTATAAATCTTTTCAATTCTTTCATTTATTATTTCCCCACTTTTTATATATCCCATTGAAATATAACATTCTATAACTTTTAAATAACAACTGATTCTTTCTTCATTTGTTATTGAAATCTTTGTTATTATTTCTTTGATATTTTCAACACACCTTAATTGATTTGTTTTGTCTCCATACATTTCAAATAATGTTGTTACAATAATTATCATTGGTAATATTTCCATTTTGTGTTTATTAATTTCTTCTTCACTGCATTTTTGATTAATTGTGCTTAAATATTTAAGTGTTTTCATTAATTCAATAATGTCTTCACTATTTTTGCTTTCTTTATTATAAAGACTTATCACATATTTAAAATAATAACATTTTGCTAATGTAATAAGAATATTAATTGCTTGTGTTTTATTAAATATTTGTTCTTCTTCTTTCTTCTTAATTTCTTCAATAATATTTTCTATTCTTTCTTTTTTGTTTATATCATTTTCAATAATTATTTCATAAACTTCAAATCTAATTACTTCAAATGGTACTATATGTTTTTCTTTATAATATTTTTGCATTTCTTGAATTATTCTTTTTATTACTTTCTTTTTATTTTCTGTTATATTATTTATTATCATTGGTTCAAATGTAATTCCAATATCTAATAGTTCTATAATAGTTTTTCTTGTTATTTTACTTCCATTTCTTTCTAAACTACCTAAAATCTCTTCTACACAATATTCTGTTTCTACTGTTCTATTCATTATATCATCTATTTTTTTCATTCTCTTCCATTTTTCTATTATTTCTTTATCTTCCAATTTCTTAATTCCTTCTATTAAACTACTAATTCCTTCTTCTTCTCTTCCAATTGCTTTTCTTGATAACATTATTATTTTTTCTGCTTCTGAAAGATGTTTATCTTCAAACTCTTTAAATGTTGTTTTTTTGAGTGAAAAGAATGTGTTAAGAACAATAATTGCCTCAGAGTATTTTTTTTCTTGATATAATTTATATCCAGTTTTATAAAAGATATTAAAAATTTCTGTTCCTGTAATATTAAGTATTCCTGAATAGCATCTATAAATTCTTGTTATTTCAAGAAGTGATACTCTTTGATATATTGCACTTCCTGTTATTCTTATTAATATTTTTCCAATATATTTAGGTACTTCAAATTTTTCTATTATTTGTGCAATAAAATATATTTCTTTTGGTGTTTCTCTTGGTATAATTTTATTAAACTTAATAAGATATTCTTCAATTATATCACATAATAACCTCATCATTTCAATAACTTTCTCAATCACTCTTTTATTATTCTTATTTACTATTTTATCTTCAATTAAACATAAACTTATTTCATTAAGTAATTTTTGAATGTCTATTAATTCAATTTCAAAATTATATACTTTCCATAAACTGTTTGGATTTGTTGTATCTCTTGGAAATTCACTTAAAACTGAATTACTTTCTTCAAGATATTTAATTGTTTCTTCTTCTTTCTTTCCTTTCATACATTCTATTATTTCAAGAAGATTATAATGAACATAAAGTAGTGCTTCATTACTATTTCTTGGTGAAGTATATCTCTGAACAAGTTCATAATATTCCTTCTTTGTACCTTTAATTCTATTTAAACAACAATAAATAAATGAAATGACAATTTCATTCTCAACTTTCATTTTTGTCATTTCTTGTCTGATGAAATTCAGTACTTCTCTTCCTTGTTCTTTTTCATAAGAAATCATTTTAAATGAATAGTTAAGTGTGTTATTGTGTTGTACCATAATCAACATGTCAATTAAGATAATCCATATGTTATTTTCATGGATGTTATGAGTGATGGTATAATTGAATATTTTCCTAACAAGACTACCAACCAGTCGTTGGTAATAATCCCCCTCCATTCGCTCAAACTATGTTTTTGAGATTATCAATTCATTTGTGTTATTTAATACAAAAACTAACTCAAAAAACAATAAATAAAGGGAAGGATGGAAGATACAAGAACAATGCTTTATGAAATTTATAAACAAGAATATATTGAATCAATACAAAGACTTATTAAGAGAAAAGAAAAAGAAGAAGAAGAAACAAAAGAATTAATGAAAAAAGAACAAAAAGAAAGAGAAGAAGAAATAGAAAAGAAAGAATATACATGTGATATATGTTATTCAGATATACAAATTCAAGATATGTATATATTTGATTGTGGACATAAATTTTGTTTAGATGTTTGTTTTAATATAAAAAGAAATAAAGAAAGAAGAAATAAATCAATAGTGTTGTTATGAACATATTCATGAAAAAATATTTAATGGTATTGTCAAAGTAAGATGTCCAAAGTCTATGTGTTGTCATGACATAACATTTGAAGAAATCTATCAAATTATAAGAAGACATCAACCAATAGACCAAGAACTTATAGAACGATATGAACGATTTAGTATTCAAGAATATTTAAAAAAAGAAAAGAATTGTAGATATTGTCCACGGTGTGGTACAGGTGTAATAGGAGATCCAAATACACCAGAAATTGAATGTCAAAATGAAGAATGTAAAAAGAAGAAAATCAAATTTTGTTTTAATTGTAAAGAAATATGGCATGAAGGATTAACATGTTCACAATATCAAGAATGGAAACGAATGAATTGTGAAGCTGATAAAAGATTTTTATCATGGGCACAAAAAAATACAAGAAAATGTCCAAAATGTAATGCAACAATAGAAAAAAATCGAGGATGTAATCATATGACATGTGCTAATTGTGGGTATCAGTTTTGTTGGTTATGTATGCAAGAATATACTTCTTCTCATTTTAAAAATGGAAAATGTAAACAATACTCATAAAAAAAAAATTTCTTTTTATTCATTTTCTTCTTTTTTCTTTATATTTATTTATTATTTTTAATC